CACCATATGTTCCATAGTATGGCATTAGATGTTTCTGTTTAGCATTTATTTCATTCTTGATATTTATTACTCTAAGATATCTTGGGGAAAAATGCATTCTGACTGTGACCCTTTCCACAGATCCAACCTGATAAATGTACCTTAGCTACAGTCTATAAGCTCTTCTAAGAAAAACAATAACATTTCCATGGACACAGTCAAGTGAATTCCTATTATGTTTATGTAAAAATCAGACCGTATATATAAATGGACATAGCTAACCCACTAGCCACCGTGTTCCAAATACGAAGTGTTCATGGGAGTGTTCATATTTTGCCCGTAAATCAATTCCTATAACTAATATGGAAAAGGCTCAGATTTCTGCTAGCATCGTGAGCTTCATTTGACAGGAGCTGAAGGCTACAGGTGACGTCACACTCTCGTCACAGTCTATGGCAAAAATAAAGCAAACAAGCACAACATCTGCATTACATTAGATAATTTATTGCACATCGCTCATTTGACTGTCTAAATGGCCTTTGAAGGAAGCACATACATAGTTTTTCATGTTGTCATGTGTTATCCTATACCTCTAAAACCACTTGAACTGCCTGTATAGATTTTCATGGTAAATCTGAAGGAGATTCATTGTTTTGTTGAATGCTGTTTAGTACAAGGTCTGTTCCGGCTCTTTCCTGTTTAGTCTGATACAAGAATAATGAATGTGAGATTTAATTTCGTTGCGGCAGCCATCACACAATAAACCAATGCTGTTTCTTTGCTCCTTCCTACCACCTCTTTTCGGGCCTATCTTATCTCCCCTGAACACTCATACTCACAAAGCCACTCTATTCTCTGCTGTTGTTTTTGCTAATAGACTGAAATCGAATTATCCAGTGTTGTTAGTGGTGTTTTAGTTTGGGTTCAAAAATATTAAAGTTTGTGCGTCAAAAAATGACCTCTGGGTTATTTTCGGTGTCAAAACATCTGCTCTCAATTTGATTGAGCGCAAAGGCCAATAAGCAATATAGCAATGTTTGGATTTCCATGATTCAAATGATGAGTCTTCTGAGAGAGAGAGAGAGCAAGGGAATTATAGAGTTTTAAAAGAGTCTGTATTTTAAAGCTTCACTGTGTAGCTTTCTCGTAAAGGATTTGCTGCCTGCTTATGTTTGTGGATATGTTATTCCTTTCCCTGGAATGTTCCATGGTATGATTAAACATTTCTGTTGTGCATTTGTTTCATTCTGGCTTTATTGCTCAAAGATATCTTGAAAAACATGCATTCTTGTGAGTGGGGTTGCCTTTTCACAGATTTGATGTGGAACTATATTATAACTGTAGCAAATCAATAAAATATCCATGGAGACAATCTAGTAGGGTACATGCCACATGAAAAGTTATATTTGTATTAATATTATAGCTATATTTTTTGTCAGGAAATAGTGCAACTATTAAAGATTCCCGATTTCAAAGTGGTGTCAGTTGTGTGAAAAAAGGAAAAAAGCAACAAATCATTTGTATGCATAGTGACTATTATGTGGAAAGGCTTTAATAACAACAATGCAAAACAACCAAACATGTTTTATTCATTATTCATGAATTTAATAAAAACCTGGGCAAAGTTTTACGAAAATATGAAATCAGTTTTACCCACATGCAATAATGTCTTGAATATTGAGCAGAATGCGCAGGGTACTTGATAAGAGCATCTGCCCTGAAGTATAAATAATATACAATTATCTATTAGAAGCATATGGTTCATTTCCAGATGAAATTAGCACTAAAATAACGCACTGCCCATCATCTTCCTGTGGAAATGACTCATGGATTAAAAAGGTAAATCATGTGAAAATGACTTACCTTGAATGGTTTGCTACAGTTGCTAAGAGACATCTTTGTAGCACTTTTCTTTATGGATTCGGTCCCCTGGCACTGGCTCTCCAACTGTCAAGGGAAGTTTGAGATTTGTTGTTTAAGCCAGTAATGGGCATTATTGAACTACTCGATGCCCTGAATACCACGTTTGGCAATGGGCGAGCGCTTCGTTTTCTGTTTGCCTTCACTGCTGAACAGTCACAATAAGCCCTGCGCCACCTGGGCGCTCAGGCCTAATAATAATGTTAGTATTATTACTTTATTATTATTGTTGTTGTTGTTATTATTATTAAGGACTATAAAAGGCTCAACATGTGATTGTAAGTGAAGCCATCATTGAAAATGATTAAGTACTCCACTTATGCCATTGTCCCACAAAGTGAAAATTGTTTAAATCTGACAACCTTTTGAGTGTCCATGGATGTTCAAAGCATTAGTTATTTCTGTTTTAGTTGAAGCTAGTCTCTTCTAACAGTAGTTCATGCAAATGATGATGCTTACAGTGTAGTGGTATTGAACAGTGTGTTGCTAGTGCTATCTGTGTATACAAAAATAATGCACTGCAGTTAGCCTTTACAATTCATAGCGTAATCAAAACATAAACTTTCAGTAGAGTGTTTCATGATTTAGATACTTTGTCCTCTTGAATTCCAGACTGTCATATGTTTCAAGTGCATGGTTAATGTGCAACTTTTTTTCAATATATTCTGCTTCCAGTTTATAGATCACCTCATCATGGGCATTAACAACTTCCTTGAATCTCAGAAAAACATAAAGCTGTTGTGTAAATTATTGATCAAAATTTAAAAGGTTACTAGTGAATACATTCATGTATTTTTTGTCATAAAATAGCAACAACTGTTTTAACTTCACAATTTCATTATATTCAAATATAAAACAAAATAAAAATAATAATAACTCCAGTTGATTAAAGTGAGAAAGTTCAATCCATTATCAGTGAACATAAAAGCACCATCTGTTCCACATATACACATACACATGCCATTAGATGTTTCTGTCTTTAATTCTTGATATTTATTACTCAAATATATCATGGGGGAAAAATGCATTCTTACTGTGAGCCTTTCCACAGATCTGACCTGTGACAATAAATGTACCTTAACTACAGTCTATGAGCTATACTAAGAAAAACAATAATAACACAGGACTCAAAAATGTGCCAATAGTTTTGTTTGAAAGCATTTCTTGGACGGAAGCTGCAATGCTGTGGTCATGTTCATGAACAGTTCATGAACTTAAGACTGTTAAGCACTTTCTTTGGTTTTGAAGGTTTACCAGAAAACAGTGGAGTTGTTTATTGTATGCACAGCTGGTGACAAAGACTTGAGGGAGTGTGGCCAAGCTATCAGAACGTGTCACTGTGTGTCCTTGGACTGAAATCTGAAACAATAAAGCACCGCAGGACAATGTAGGATCTGAGTTATTACCTCAGTTAAAATATTGCACATAAATTTAAATCTTTTAACTAACATAAACTTTCAAAGCGTCTGATAGGTGGTGTGCAGTGAGGGTGGGTGAGCTGGTGGTGGGAGGGATGAGGGTGGGGAAATTGTCCGGTACCCTTTATTTCTGTCTGATGTATCTGTGCTCCCTCACTACTAAAAGAAAAAAATATATATCAAAAATAAAGTAGAAACAGATTTCTACTAGAATTTAGTAGCATCTAATTTCAAGGTGCATCAAACATTTGTAAAAAGAGTGATTTGCTATGTTTTGGTATTGTAAAGTGTGAGGGATCAGATGATATTAATTACAATCAAGTCTATATATTCAGAGGGAACCGATTACTTTAGTTACCTCTTCAAAGATACTAAGCTTGTATGAATTGTGAAAAAATTTAAATTGTGAAGAAAATGAAATTTTTTGGGCATATTGCCCACCCCTATATGCTACGCTACCACATCTGCTGATCTACAGTCAAAAAATTAAAAGGGCCCATATTACACTAGGGCTGGGTATCATTAAGAAGTTGCCGAAACATGTCTCGACACAGTGAACTTTTCTATTCGATGCGATATATTTCAAATCAATAAAATAAAGGCTGAATCATGACTATGATACTAAAAGTCTTTGTTAAACCACTTCTTGTGCAAAGTTCATATGAAACACAAACATTTAATCATCAAAACTGAAAATGTCAAATGTGTTGCATAAATGAGTTTCCTTCCTCTGAACAAGCAACAAAACTGTAGCACTGTAACAAAATAATTTTGCAAAATATACCATACCTCTTGCTGATATATCAATACAGCAACCCCCGATACTGATACTGTATTATCACATTAAACTATATGATATATCGATATATCGCCCTATATTAAACTATGTTTTGTGTTGTTTCCTCATCATAATCATACCTGGAGTTGTGTTTTGTTTCATTCACACATGTTTAACACACAAACCCTGCATATTTAAGCTCTCTCAAACATAAACACTCTGTTCCACCTTGTGATGTCATGTTGGATGAGTTAAGCCCTGGAATTTCCTATTTCTACTAAACAAAAGGTAAAAGGTAGCTGTTAACTTCAAAACTACCACTACATGACATTACAAGGTGGAATAGAGCATTTTGAGCTTTGGAGATGTAGACAGACTAATAATAAAGAGTTATTCAGACATGTGTGAATGAAAAAAAATACTGCTTCAGTTATGTTTTTGATGAGGTAACAACATCACAAGAGATATTTTTATGTAATACAGAAATTTTAATAGATGAAGCAGAATCATTAGCTGTACTATTAATTCTGGAGCATGTTCTATATTGTGTGTGAATGCCCAGTGACCTGTTGGCTTGTTAAAGTCAAAACTCAAGAGGGACTGTGTGGCTTTTCCCGTCTGTAATAAACACTGCTCCACTGAGGCCTGAGTGGACTGAGGCTGGAGTGAGGAGCGTGAACTTCCTGTCCCTGCACTCTGGAAATAAACTAAACTAAAGCACGCTACACTGTTCCCATGTTCGCATCATATTTCCATAGCACATAAGATACAATATTGTTTTTGTTGATACAAATCATCATTGAGCACTGTACTTCTCTGTGAACTCAATATTGGGGATTATTGTGTATTGAAGAATATGAAAATACAGTTTTTACACCTATTTTTTCTGCTAAAATCTCTTGCAGAAAGATGTGGAGCAGGATACCACTCTCAGTATTAGCTGTTTTCTTACTTGAGGTAAGTGATTTGTGTGTGTGATTATTATTAAAGGTGCACCACGCAACTTTTGGAGGGTCCACCACCAGCTTGGATGTGATATTGCTCTGTCTAAAATGTTCCACTGTATGGCATTAAACTTGTCTTCGTGGATAAAACAGGTGGTGCCTCCTGACAATTTATAGGCCCAGTCTGTGGAGATGCAAGCCCGCTCAAAATGCATGTTATTTAAGGTATTTTTGCCAATAAAAAGCTCCCATAATTAAACTAGAAAAGCACTCAGAGAGCGCAGACCTCCGCCAAGGACTACCCCCATTTTTTATATAAATTGCGATAAAATCAGTCTTCTGGATCAGATCCGCATCAGCCTTTGGAATATGAAAGAGGATCCCATTGTCCATCCCTGAGTCAAATTTCATGGGGTTTGGTCAATAATTAACCGAGATATTGAGAAACAAATTTTTTGGCCCCATTTACCACAATGTTAACTAAAATTTCAAAGTGATCCAGAATCCAGGATTTCTTCCGGATCACCCCCAAAATGAAATCAGTTCTTCCTTTTCACATTTCCAACAAATCCTGAAAATTTCATCAAAATCGGTCCATAACTTTTTGAGTTATGTTGCTAACAGACAAATAAACAAACAAACAAACAGACAGACAAACGCCGGCAAAAACATAACCTCCTTGGTGGAGGTAATAATTGATCGATATTAAATATATGAAATGCTGTCTGTGGAACATTTCAGGCAGAACAATATCTCCAAGGAGACAAACAGGCAGCACGCTCGCCGCTAGAAAATTATGCAGTCTACCACAGATTCACAGTGCTTCTTATGAAGTAACTATATATAAAAAGATACAATATTGAAATGTCAGACTGATAACTCACACTGCCAGAACGCTCCATTGCCCTATTGTGATTTCCTGTATAGCTCATCTAATATCTGCAACTTCTACTCAAATTCAGCAGGGGTTCTGAGTTGCTGGATGGTTATTTTAGGGTCTAAAAAAGTCTCAACCAGGTCCTTGCTCATATTTTATTGCACTATCATGATTCTACATTCATAAACATACAGTACTCTATTTGTTTTTCTTCTGTTAGGCGTGCCAGTGTGAGGATGCTTGGCTCACAGAGGAGCCCCCATCGCAAGAGCAGCAGCAGATGCAGACCAACTTCACGGACATCTCTGCCATCTTGGGGAAAACTCGGCACCAGATCCTGGCTGCTCAGTTTGAGTGCTACCTGAAGATAATCCACGACCCCCCGTACACGGAACAAGGTGATAACAGTGTCTCTTCAATATCAGCTTTACAGAGATAACAGGCTGGGGCTAACACAAACCTGATGTGACTATGTCTGGAAGATGTACTAACGCAGTGAAATGAGTAGGGGTGTAATGAAATCAAAATCCCTTGATACAATATTTTCATGTTATGCACATATTGATACGAAACTGTACACAACAACTTGAAAAACCTGATTCAATTTGTAGTAGTTTCATTAGCAGAACTGTGTTGTGATAGTGCTCTGAAGGGCGAGAGAGCAAAGGGAGGGGATATTCAAAGCGTCAGAAATGAATAAAACATGTTAAGATGCTGTTATTGGTGAATAGAGCATTTTCTAAACAAGAAAGAGTAACATGGTGATCTAACTACGTAATGTGTGAGCAGTTAATACCCCATAGAAGAAAAATACCCTCTTTAAATAATGGTAAAATATAATTTAATCTAATAAATAAATACATAAGATCAACGTTTGCATTCTGAGAAAAAGCAGTAAAGTACATCCATATAGTTGTCCAATAAAGAAACAATTCAAGCAATTATTTATTAGAACTGGACGACCATTTAAACTTTTCAACAACTCACCCTTATGTAACAGACAACCCTATGTCCTGTCAATCATAATATCATCTTTGCACAGTTTTCTTACGACCTTTTGTCAGATATTGAGATATTTTTAATCAAGATATTATTATTTTTACGTATACATTCATACAATTATGCCTTATTTTATCACCAGTCTCTTCCTACTTTTTTGCTACTTATTTCGAATTTATTCTTACCATTTACATTTTTTACTCTTTGTTATTATATTATATTGTGATGTGTGAGCCACTATGTCCAAAAAATTTCTCTTGTGGATCCATAAAGTTTGTCTAAGTCTAAGTGTAAGAAGTAAACAGCCTCTATTTTTTTGTTTTTTTATTGTGCCTATATTATCAAGAGCCTCACACAAGATGCTACAATATGAACCACTTGTACGAGCGCGCAGCAGCAAGACGGACAGGAAGTGAGGCTGAAAGACAGGAAGTTCTTTCTTTGTCTCAGGCTCTACAAACCTCTGCCTTTGAAAAGTTATTTTGTGTTCCATTTCCCATCATGCCACTGTGCAGCCTGGTACTGACCGCTTTCCGGGTATTGTTGATAAGATTTGTACGCTGGCTCAACAGCTGGTAGCTCAAAGTTTATACTTAAAAACATGATCCTACTCTGAATGAGTTTATTTAAATTTTTTATAAAGCGTTAGCTGTTACAGAAGAGGCAAGTTTAGTTTCAGTATTTAAATGGTTTCTGTAGAAATAGGGCATCTAATTACATATTTAGGAAATCTTCATTGACAATATGTTCAATGTTGTTTGGGCTATTTGTAAATTGTGGCAGTGTTGTTAAAAATTATAGCTACCAGCTGCTTTTAAAGAGCCTATATAACACAAATTGACTCTTGTGCGCTTTAAGCTGTTATAATTGTTACCTCATTACACATTTCATTCACACAACTTTGAGTAACGCTCATTATTAATCTGTCTACATCTCCAAAGCTCAAAATGATCTGTTCCACCTTGTGATGTCATGTCAAAATATCGTAATATGGGCTCTTTAACTAATATCTACCAATGATTATGACCAAGCTAGGGTGGGTGTTAAGAGTAATTACATTTGAGAATTTCATTATTGACTTTGACGACTGAAGAATTGCGCTCAAAATCATAATGTAAAGTTGTTTTATCTACTGCCCCCTGTAGGTACACACTGTAACCGCACGTGGGATGGATGGCTTTGCTGGGGGGACACTGCTCCTGGGACAGTCATGCAGATGTGCCCTGAGTACTTCCACGATTTTGACCCTGGAGGTTTGATATGCAAATTGTAAATATTATAGTACATTTAACCTTACTGGGTTATGTTGTCCTTTCCAGAGAAGGCTACCAAGGTGTGTAACCCTGATGGACAGTGGTTCCATCATCCAGAGAGCAACCGGATATGGACAAACTACACCCAGTGTCAGGTCTACACCAAAGACAAACTCAAGGTAATAATAATGATAATAATAATAGTGATAATGCATTTTATTTTATGGTGCCTCTCAAAACTTACAAGTAAAAAAACAATAAAACTACTAAGATACAAGATAAAAACAATAAAAGATACAGAGGACACAGGAAGACTCAAGACAAATAAAAGGGTTATGAAGAAAGAGAGGGAGTCTATGTTCCAGAATTGGGGGCCACAGCAAGGCAAGACAAGTTTATTTGTATAGCACAATTCATATACAAATTAATTCAAAGTGCTTTAGAGAATAAGAAATACATTAAAATCACAGGGGCCACAGCCACTGAAGACTCTGGCCCCCAAGATACAAGGTTCAGTTTATGTCAAAGCAAAATGAACCACGCAAGATTACCACAAATTCTCATAGCCTGTAATCATGCAGGGTTTCTCAAATATTGCATATACCTGCTGGTGCACAGATGTTTTCTCAACGCTATATCTATTTTTTACCTCTTCTGCAGATGGAACTTAAACTCCTTAACATATTAGCTTTCTTAGTCTCTATAGTGCAAGTTACGTAGTGGCTAAATCAGGCATGTCTAAACTATGGCCCGGGGGCCAAATGTGGCCCTCAGACCAATTTTTCTGGGCCCTCAAGCCTCTAGCTGAATTGGCCTAAATGATCTAGACAGTACTTTTTTTTACTGCAAATTAGTATTTCTATTACTAGATTTTCTTATTTCATTGTGATACAGACCCAAATTCGGCCTGAAATTAGTGTTCCAAGACTTTTTAAAGGTGTTGTGGCTCAGAAAAATGCATCTATCTGAAAATCTTTCTGTACTGAACACCAGTTTAGAGCCCTCCACCTTCCCTCGGTCAAAAAAGTTTGGACACCCCTGGGCTAAAAACACTCCAGATATATATTTTTGATAGACAAAGATGCAATATTGCAGTATTAAAACAGGTTTAACAACTCAGTAAGCTTTTTAAAGTTTACAACCTACAGAATCCAGATCGTCAAAAAAGGGTCAAAGCCCTTTTCAGAAATTCTTTACCAAATCAAAAGGGCAATCTCACAACCCGCTGCACCGATCGCACAAAGCTGCCACAAAGAAAAAGCTATTTCATTTGTTTGACCCTGATAACATCTTTCAGGCAAAGAAGTAAAGATTTATTTCAAACTAAACTCTCAGCAGCATTATTATACTCTCAGAAATTCGCATAATCCACGAACTTTCAGAGACTCTTACCTTACTCTCGGTTAAACATTTTAAAACATTATGATGAAAAGTCTATGCTCTTTTTTACATTTATTTTGATTTGCAGAATATAACCACACACTAAGAGACACACACACACACCACACACTATTTGGATAAATTATTTTTATCAGTTTACATACTTGCACAGGGAGAAAATTGATGGTTTGTACAGAGTAGTGTTTCCTGGCAAAGGGAGACTCTTAGTACAATACATAGAACAGACCAGGCCTTTAATAGAATAGTGAGTGTACTGTAATGCTTTATTTTATTTTGGTGACAACTAAATTATACTTAAGTAGCTGGCCAATAAATCGGTAAATAAAATAATATAAATGCAACCTACATCTTTGTCTCCTTATGTTTAGAAAAATAAATCACCTAAAAATTTTGAAATAATTCTTCACTGACATCTAGGCTTATACATCAAGTTGGAGTTGATATCTTAATTCTTGTAGGGTATAGTAGGTGCTTCTGAAATAGATTGTGTTAAGGCTGGGAATTGCAGAATCCTTCACAATTCGATATGATACTCAATACATAGCTCATAATACGATATGATTACGATATGGCGATACATGTGATGACCAATATATTGTGCTTGATACTGATATATGTTCTATATCACTATTTTTAGAACCAAATACATTTTAACAGCAGTATATCTTTGTTAAATCACTACATATGCAAAGTCAATATGGAAAAAAACTATTATAACCATTAAAACTATTCCAGTTACTTAAAGGTCAATAAAATAAAATAAAAACAGTGAATATACCAAGTGCAAAAAAAGGTTCCTTTCTCTGAACAAACATCAAAATTGTAACACTGTCCCAAAATTGTTAAGGAAAATATATAAAAAAATAAAAAAAACTTCTGGAGATATAACAGCACAGCAGACCATGATAACGATACTGTTCCACCAAATTTAGTATCAAGATATATCAATATTTTGGTATTTTAACGCTCCCCTAGCGCCAACAATCTCACAATTTTAAACTCCTTGAGAAGAAAGTTGCACAAGGCTCCACAAGGCCACTCAGCCATGTTTGCGTAGATACTTTTCTGTTTCTCTGTTGTGTGAGGCTGTAGTGTACTCTCTCTTCTGTGAATTGAAATGTGAACCTCCACGGGAAATAACAGCGGGATGTTTTATGACAGGTGTCGATATCTGATACTCACACACACTCAGACCCCCATCATAACTACCTGAACTCAAGCCAGCACCATCAGATGACTCACGGCTTCTCACCACAGTACTTAGTGCCAGCCAGCTCTGTTATGCTGAACCAAGCAGGCCCCAATAGTTTTCTGTACAAATATAATTTCTATTGTAATCAGTTGACCAAGTACCTAAATCAGGAGCTGCTAAGAAATTGTGTTGCTTAGGTACTGGTAAATTTTTCAAATAGTTTTTCTTGATACTGTTAAATGACTGAAAGCTTGAGTTGATTTTGAAATGTATATTGTGTTTTCATTCTTAATATGGATATCTTGATTGCCAAATTATCAAAATTTAACTTTTCACCAAAACAGTGTATGTTATCTTAACAACAGTAACCTTAGCAACCATTACCTACCATAGTGACTCTACCATAGTGACTCTACCATAGTGACGCTACCTTAGTAACTGTTACCATAACAACCATTACCATAGCAAATATTACCATAGCAACCCTTACCAGATCAACTGTTACCATAGCAACCGTTAACTTAGCACCGGTTACCAAAGCAACTGTTACCAGAGCAACCATTACCATAACTATTTTATTTTGTGTTATCATAGTAGCATTTGGGGTTATTGTCAAAATATATTATATGAGTTATTCTTATTAGTATTTTTGTAAGGTTGTATAAATAAAAAAAAATATATATAAACTAAATTATAAGATTAATACACTGTCTATTTATCTTGATATAGTTTAACAACATTGTTTATTTTACAGTTTGCCATCAGCCTGTACTACTTGGCCATGGTTGGTCATGCACTCTCCATAGTCTCCCTCATTATATGCCTTGTAATCTTCTCCTACTTCAAGTGAGTAAGCCAACTCTAACACCCAAATATAATGTTTGTGTCTAAGTGACAAACTAATTCTCTTGTATATAGCTGCGATATATTTGTATTACTATATTTCTATATTTTATTTTACTTATTTGACACCAGTCTCTTGCTATTTTTGCAACTTATTTAGAATTTATTGTTGCCAGTTATATTTTTGCCCTTTGTTATTATAACATATTGTGATGTGAAAGCTATCGTGTCCAAATAATTTCCCTTGTGGATCAATAAAGTTTGTTGAAGTCTAATCTTTGTTGTTTTGTTATAGAAGTTTGAGCTGCCAGAGGATTTCTCTCCATAAGAATATGTTTATGTCATTCATTCTCAACTCCATAGTGACCATCATGTGGCTCTCGCTGACTGTGGCCAACAACCAGGCTATAACTGCAAGCAACCCAGTGAGACTAAATCCCAGTACTATTACCGACTGATACTTTGCAGTTTTTATCAGTTACAATGGTGACACAATGCACACATTGGCAAACACAGCCAAATAAGTTTTAAGGTTGTCTACACAATCAAGAGTTTATATATATAGCACAATTTATTTGTATAGCACAATATGTACACAAAGTAATTCAAAGTGCTTTACCGATTTTAAAATCACAATACAAACAGATCAGAACATAAATAATCATCATAAAATTAACATTAAAAGAGAAGAGAGAAGAGTGCGGAATAAAAACAGCAAATTTTCAGGACCTTATGATCAATACATGGATTCATGGTCCTGTTTAAGTGTTTGATTTTCAACAAAAAAGGTGAAAAAAAAAGTGACTAACTGAAGAACTGCTTGTTAATGTTAGCTTGTGAATGTAATTGACAGCACAAATCGCCTCCCCTGTTGTAGTTCCAACTAAGTCAGATTATGTTAAAATAAAGATTTGATTAAAGTTAAACTTGAGCAACAGAGCTTCTAACAGAGTAGTGCTTTCATGACATCCGCTGCAAGGTATCAATACTATACCGCATAATCAATGGTGTAACTGGAATATTGGTACAGTTTTTTATAACACCAGCCCTAAATCTAACCTTGACCTTATTGCCTTCTCCATCAGGTGAGCTGTAAGGTCCTGGCTATGCTGACCCAGTACACATCCACCTCTAACTACTTCTGGATGCTGTGTGAGGGCATCTACCTCCACACGCTCATCATCGTAGCTGTATTTGTGGGAGAACAGCAGCTCTTCTGGTACTACGTCCTGGGGTGGGGTAAGTACATGCTTTACTGTAGTTTTCCAGCTAGTCAATATTTTATAGTTTGATTTTATAATATATAATAATGTCCATGTAATCCCTCAGTCGTCCAGGTAGAATCCAAAGCAAAGCAAAAGAAAATTTCAATTCTGTCACCTGGACAAAAGTAATTTGAGTGAAGACATTTCGCAGTTCATCCAAACGGCTAATACAGTTCTGGTCAGATTGGACACTGCACAGTTCAAACAGAAACTGTAAACAAATATGTGTTAGTTTCAGTGTAGTTAGCTCCTCCTTTCAGACAGATGTAAGGCAGTGTCCACCATCAATCTGACCAGAAGCCTCTTGGATGAGCTGCAAAATGTTTTCACTCAAAAATTTTCAGTAACTTTTACCACCTCAAAACTATCTTTGCAAAGAGAAAACTTGTCAAAAGAGAATGGTTTTATGTCCTTCTTTCCTGTACTGATCATGCAAATCTGAAACATTGCTGCTGTAGAGCACCACTTAAACTGAAAAGTCACTCTATTATCCACTTCACAGGCTTTCTGAGGGTTATAAAATACAATTTTCTTACCAGCAAGCTGTTTTATTTTTCACTCCAATATTAGTATATTTAAAATAATAACACATTTGATTATCTGTAATCAAATGTGTTTTTTGTTTTACAGCATATTTTCATTTTAGTGTGTTTGTAAAAGTACTTTGAGTACTTGATTCTTGTATGTCTTTCTAAAGCTCTTACCCTTGCACAGTACATGTGAGTGCTAATGCATTGTTAAGTACCTGTTGTGCTTCTGTGCTTCATGTCTCTACCTTGAACTCCATTATTCTCTTCATCTATAGGCAGACAGACTTTAACCATGTAAAAAGTCTATAGTCATGTACATTGTGAAGTCTTTTTTATAGCAGTTCTATTATGTTGTGTATTCTTAGGCTTTCCAGTTGTTCCAGCTATTATCTACGCCGTGGCACGTGGACTGTTTTATGACGACAAGTAAGATGGCAGCCCATAAGAATGTGCGTTTAAAAGTTTTGTGTTAAAAGTGTTTTTTTTAATTCGTTATATTATTTTTCAGGTGTTGGATTAGCTCTCACACAACTCCTCTACATCATTCATGGACCTATTCAAGCTGCTCTGCTTGTGAGTGTTCTTCATATTTATTGAACCATTGCATCAGTTATAAAAAATAAAAGGCCTAACACTATATATTATATAGTACTATATTCTTTGATATTTCTTAGTAAATATGGTGCTCACATAAAACACCAAATTACACAGATATTCATAGAAAGACGTTTAAGGAACCATCTTAATTTCAGGGGTGGAAAGTAACTAATTAAAAATACTCACATGTAACTGATTCAGTTTTTTTAGGTATTTGTACTTTTATGAGTACAGCTCTCCATCGCCTGCTCTGATTGGTCAGAACTGTTGTTTGAAACAACTCTAATCTTTTCAGTTTTGACAATTTGTATAGAATAATGAGCTAAAACTAAAAGATAACTAGTGAGTTTAAGTAGTAATTTTGTCTACTTTTTACTTACAACAACAAACAAAAATACACTTTTGGAAATACATTTTTATCCTATGCTTTCACTTGAGTGCAAATATGCAGTATTCTTTCCACCACTGCTTCATTTCTTGTCATTTCTTAATGCAGAATTTTGTTATAGTCCTGCTCATGTTGGCTCACACATTTAAAACTAGATAAACATCATAGGCATTGTAAAATTATTTGTGATGGTGAATGCTAGTGATGCTTTTGGACCTCCATGCTCAGTTTTGTATTTGTGCTTTACTCCCTGTAGGTGAACTTATTCTTCCTGCTGAACATTGTGCGGGTCCTGATCACTAAACTAAAGGAGACTCACTGTGCAGAGTCCACAGCGTACATGAAAGCGGTCAGAGCCACCCTCATCCTGATTCCACTGCTGGGAGTGCAGTTCATCCTGTTCCCATGGAGACCTGAGGGACGCATCAGCCGTGCCATCTACGACTTTTTTGTCAATATTTTTAGTCATTTCCAGGTAATGTCAGAAGCAATATCCTGGTGGCAAAATGAAAAGATGGTCACATGGCCTAATAAAAAAAACCATTTAACTTGCATTTCTTGCAGTTAGCTAAATCAGTGGATGCATATATAGTATATACTTTTTAGAACTTTTAACCATGTTATATTTGTTTCCTCTCACCATTTACTCACCCGAAGTTGTATTTGGAGTGATTTGTGCATGTTACTGTGCATTTTGTCAATCAACCCTGTGTTACCGCAACCGAAACCCACTGTTCTGTACTTACTTCACTTTCCGATTTTATTTTCTTAACCTGTGATACGCGAAGGATTAGGCAGCATCGTGCAGTCAATCTGTTATAAGTAAAAAAAAAAAAAAAAACTGTGACTTGCTAGCTTGATGTTCAGCTATCCATCTGAGGTGCCGACAACATCCCGGCTCTGTGTTGACATTTATGGCGATGTCTGCTTCCACTGAGCACCGCAGTTTTCGAACGTGAAAGTCAAGTCGTTTTAGATAATATTGAGATTTAAATTGTTCATATTACAACATAAAGAACCACGGTTGTCTTAGAGTATAACTATGGTGCAGACACAAGCACAATAGGTCTTTTTTTAAGTAAGCCTACATTTTTTCTATATTATATTATTTAAGTGAAAAAATCTGGATGTTAAAATAGATCACTAATGTTAACTCAAAGTGTGTGCGTGACATGTAAGCTGGGGTCTTATGACTGCACCACTGGGGAGCTGTCAAAGGAGTTCACCATCCCTCAGACACCAATAAAAATAGTTTGCTCCTACAAATACTTCCTGTTTCAGCACAATACCCTAGTTTGATTGATAGCTCTGTTAACACGTTTTGATGGCTGTCACTTTATTTAAACCAACAAAGGAAGGAAAACAGCTCCTGCAGCTTAGTCTGATGTCTAGACATATTACGCTTTATTCTGACTATTTAGTATGAAACTATAATATATATCATTATTTTAAGTTTTTGGTGATTATAAACCTCAATATTCTAAAATGGCTTAATAATAGGGTTATGACTTCCCACTCAAAACATAGTTGCATTTCTTCTTTTTTTTTTTTATCCCAGCATGTACGACCTAAAGTCTGATTTTTTTTACATAATGGCAAGTAAATACAGGGCAGTAGGCGGGGACAGGGGTTAGGTGAAAACTGATTATTAAAAAACTGATTATCTGAGTACGTCTTGAATGCAGGACAATGCAGGATTTACTCTAATATTCATGAATCACTCAAAATACAACTCTGAGTAGCCTAATGATGAGGGAACACTGTTTTAACATGATAAAAACTACATAGAATTAGATTTTTAATATGACCAGTGGTGGAAGAAGTACTTGATTTTGTTACTTGAGTAAATCACAAATACCAGGGCAAAAAAAATTACTCAAGTAAATATAAAGTAAAAGTAAAACTAAAAGTATTAAAGTACCCCTTTGTACTCTGTACTGTAAGATGTACTTGAAGAGTAAAAAGTACATGCATTTGAGATCTAATAAAGCTTCAAACATAACGATTTTGATATGTGATTTGTGTTGAATTTTATTGTTTGCTAAATTATGAACATGTTAAAAATAAACCCCTCAGCCTGTTCAGCAGGTCATATACAATAATAAAAAATGCTTTTACTTCAGTTCAGTTCAAAAATATAGTTGAGTAGAAAGTGCAGATAACTGCTCTCAAATGTACCACTCCCAAATTTACTTAAGTACAGATACCTAAAATTTGTATTTAAGTATAGTGCTTTACTATTTTACTAGTACTTTGTTATGTTTCACCACCGGTTTGAACATTACAATATGCTGTATAAGGATTTAAGGTTGAGGTTTATTTGTGCGTTACTTACCAAGAAATCTAATTTATTGGTTCATTTTGTTCTTGACCTCTGCAGGGACTGCTGGTAGCCATTATCTTTTGCTTCTGCAATGGAGAGGTAGGAAAATACATCATTATGTTGACAGTACTTATGACAGTGCTGTTGTGCTATTATACTGATATTCTAAATATATTGTAGGCCCAGACAGCTGTGCGGAGGAAGTGGGCCCAGTGGAAGACTGCATGGGGTAAAACAGGCTGGGGAGTCACACCCATCACCAACAACTCCCATTTTAACTACCACACCAACTCCTCCATCACAGAGACCAGCCGTGCCACCCTTACCCTGGAGCACCCTGCTGTCGACCACCACGGTCCCTCTCTGTCATTAGTGCACCACAAACCAACCAGTGAGCAAGAGCACAAACCTGCCTACAGCAACGGAGACGTGGACAACCTCAACAGGCTGCAAACCACCGACATATGACTATAACAAGAACCTTAAGGATATGAAAAAAGTTACTTTACATCAGTATTTTTCTTAAAAACATGTCATTTGTTCATTTACATGTGAATGTCAGCTTTTTCTCTGAGGAGTAAAAGAAAGTATTTGTAGGTTTATGTAGTTTTTTGGACATGCAAAAGCACATGAATAAAGCAGAAACTTGTGATGACAAAAATGCATGTATCACCAACTTTTTTTCTGCCATATTGTTTGGTAGACACATTGTTTTTGCTTATGTTTTACTAGAAAAGGAAAATTATGTTTTTAATATTCTTAATGTTTTTTTTGTGTTTTGTAAACAAATGTATAACCCAGCTAATTGTTGTGAGGTGTTTTTTTCTGCTTCACTATGACTTCTGAATGTCATAACCACTGTTACTGTTTTTCTTCAGGTGCCAAATAGCGTGTGTGAATTTGATTTTGTTGCTTTTTATATAATTACTGTTTTATGTGTTTAAAAAACAAAACGGATAACCTTTATATATAAATGGGCCTCTGACCAAATCACCACTATATTTCACTTAGTGTCACTGTATAATAGACCTACTACCCTTAAAGTAAAAAGCACACCCCTGCTTGGCTGCACTGAGACACTGCACTTAATTTCAGCTTATTTTTATCTTCAAAAAAGTTCAGTCTAAAGGTGTTCAAATGTCCATACCTTACCATTGACCAATGTGTATATGCTTTATGCATTATTCATGTTCTAAAATGCTCAGACTGTGGGGAAACACATTCCATTTCAACATTGTGAATAACAACCATTTGACTGTACAAAATAAACATTAGGTCATTTGAGAATTGCGTTAACTAATTGTGTTATTCCAGGCAGAACACTGTTTTTGATATTTTAGGCAGATACACGCTCATGGCATTATAAAGTGTTATCTTAGCTACAGCCAAATATTAGTCAGAGCCTCGAAAAGGACGAGGTCCCACCGAGATTTGAACTCGGATCGCTGGATTCAAAGTCCAGAGTGCTAACCATTACACCATGGGACCAGATGCACCCTTAGTGTCGGTATGTCTCTCCATAAAGATAGGGAAGGTTTTTCTCTTTGAAATGTGTTATTGATGTGAACCTGTGTCCGTCTTAATGCCCGTTATCAGTTTTGTTTTACCTTGAATTATTGCATAACTTAGAAATACGAAGAAGGAACTCACCAGGCAAACCCTCACTTAGCTAAATTGTTAGCTAACCTGTGAGGTTAGCGAAAATATGAAATCCACCACTAGAGACTATCGATCTATCGATAAAGTAAGTCGACAAAAGATACAATGCATCAGCATTGTATCTTTTTTCATTTTACAATAACCTGTATTATTATTGTTGTTTTTTGTTTGTTTTTTTGTAAAAAGATTCGCCCCACGTGGATGTTGTTGTAATATTTTTGTTTGCCACACGGAGGCAGTAGAGCATTGGTATATGCAACGTCTCACGTTTCTCTTTATATGATTTGTTTATTTTATTACAGACTATTGTTTTTTTGTTTGTCATAGGTGATTTTGTAGCCTACACAAGATAAGAAATAGAGCTGTTTTGACCTCCTCGAGATACAATTTATTCAAGTCTATATGTATAGTTTATGCTTATCATCACACACAGTCCCACAGTTAAGACAGGAGTAGACTTATTATTAAAACTTAAATTATTTTATCAAATATGAAGTGTAATTATATCTTCCATTACAGTAATGCCAGTCTATCTGACCTGGATTCACCCCGTGACATTTTATCTGCCTCTCTTTGTTCACACAGCCACAGGGCCGTCTGGTTTCCCATCTCCATCCAGCCATACATTAACATGGCAGAGGTCCTGTGAGGATACACCAAACTGTAGTCCCCGGCTTAGTCTATGGCACTTAGACTACGGACTGCGTGTGAGTAAGCCCCTCCCCCTAACCCCCTGGCCTTTAGCCTTCTTTAACACCAATACACCTGATTATAAATGCCGACATGGAAGGATTGGTGGGTAATCAATATGGCACAGAACTTTTGATATGCAAATCTGTATAGATTAAATTTAATGAACTGCAGTTTAGGCTAGAATGTGCTAAAGTAGGTCATCCGCTCTGAAAAATTAATAATGCATGACTATAGGTTGAGTGTCAGCTGTGCAGATTAACATCAAACAGGCAGACTCTAATTTGAACATGACAGCTTGTAATATTTTTAGCAGACCAAATAATTTAAGAGTTTCATATTACATTATTTTCTGATCTCTGTCATAATGCTGTTTCCTCATCACAAACAGACCTGGAGTTGTGTTTTGTTTCATTCACACATGTTTAACACACTAGCCCTGCACATTTAGGCTGAGTCCTTCTCTCAAAAAGAAAACACTCTGTGTACAAAAATATCTAAATATCAATATATCGTATCGTCTAATGTTATGTATCATGGGCTGCTGTATCAATATATCGCCAGTCGAGTATTTTTTATTTTTTTGGTAAATTTTACCAAAATATTTTGTTACAGTGCTCCAGTTTTGTTGCTTGTTTAGAGAAAGGAAACACATTTGACATTTTCACTTATTTGAAGATTAAAATGGATGTGTTTTATTATAACTTTGCACAAGAAGTGGTTTAACAAAGACTTTTAGTATCACAGCCATGATTTAGCCTTTATTTTTTATTGAACCGTATCGAGTTGATATCGAATCGAAAGCTCTTTGTATCGAGAGATGTATCGTATTGTGGCTCATGTATCGGGGTATGTCTCGTATCAGCAACTTCTTAATATCACCCAGCCCTATTCGTGAAATCACAAGATGGAACAGAGCATTTTGCTCTTTGGAGATATAGACAGACTAATAATAAAGAGTTATTCAAACATGTGTGAAAAAAATAAAACAACAAACAAAAATTCAAGTTATGTTTTTAAAGAGGTAACAACATTAAAACATGGCTTAAGACTCACAGGTCAGTTTTGCGCAATATAGGACCTTGAAAATTTCACAATACATTTTAAGAAAAGGTCTTATTGTGTTTGCAGTGACAGTCAAGGAACAGACGGACAGGAGAGCTAGATCTAGGACAGCTGAAGATGTTATGATACTCTTTGTGGAAGTGATGAGTAATGTAATGATCAAGGTTGGGGAAAAAAAAATCATCGGAACATTTTTTTATATTTTGGTGAAATAGACAGAGAGGTCAGAATGAGATGGTTGCATGAGAAGGACACGGAGTTTAGAGTTGCCTGATGGGACTTTGGAAGCTACTTCACGACCAGCTTGTGCAGTTTTTATTATGGAACCCTTAAAATCCATCTTCTGTACTTTGATTTATTCTTGTTCATAAAAAACACTCCATGCAGTGTATTGTAACAGCAGCTACTTCTATAAAAATGATTGAATGATGAATGATGCCTATATACATTTTATTCTGCATTTTATTAGATGAGAACTATGAAGAAACATGCAGATGTAACATCCCATTTTGTCACATAGTTGAATGAAACCAGGTGGACGTAACTGCCTCAGACTATCCAAGGCAGTGGTTTCTGTGTCATGGTGTTACAGTGAAGTGAGGGAGGGGACAGAGTAACTTTTTTCTTTATTAATAGTTTAAAATTGGGTACATGGTCTTTAAAGTGATAACCGGAGTAGAATTTTTCACCTTTTTTGAGGTAGAGTGTCAACTGCCTGATTTCAAATAGAAAATCAAAACAAAAATTCTGAACATTCTTGATGGAGATAAAAAGGTTTGATGCCATATTGTGGAAGGTTATAGCCAAAGGAACGACATTTCTACTGACCGAAAGGACAAGATCACAGATAGTAAAGGTTGAAATGAGTTTCCTCTGCAAAATGACTGAGTGCTCCCTTAGAGATGTGAGGAGCTCAGTCACACGGGAGGAACTCGGAGTAGAGCTAGACCCAGGACACGCTGAATGTACTCTGTTTCTCGGCTGTCCTGGGAACACCTCAGAATCCCCCCGGAAGTGCTGGAGGAAGTGTGTGTGGAAAGGTGGAAAGGGAAGTGTGACTGGCTCTGTTCAAAATGCTGACTTTGCAACCCGGCCCCAGATAAAACAGAAGAAATGGATGGATGGAACAACATTTCTGTGGAAACAAACAGGAGCAGGCCTCCCCTCCAAGTCCGCTCAGAATTAGGGTGCATTTTTTGTTTGTTTTTCATAAACACACCTATAATGAAAAAGATTCTCTAATTTGAGTGTACATTTTGTTTTATTTTTGAGCAAAAAAGTTACATACTATGGCTTTAACAATGTCTAAAAAGATTTTGTTTATTTTTCATGGACATATTCATCTGGCTAATGCCTTTTCCTGACAGTGGAGAATATATGGATATGAAAGCCACTATTAACAAACATAAACAAAGATGGTGCAAATGCAATATTGTTTCCTGTCTTTTAGTTTCCCTTATTTAAAGTAAAACAAAGAGGAGAGCACATGAAAGGTTAGTGTTTTAATTTTCTAGAAGAGTAGTTGGAAGCAGTCCAAACAAATATCACAGGTCAAGGTCAGAAGCGGTCACAGAATTGCTCTTTGATCCACTTTGGAACGGTGGTCCAGGAGATGCTTGGACAGCCCCTGATGCCCTCCCTCACCCACTAATGAAGCAGCTCCAGATGAACCAGATTAGCCCTTCACCTTTGGGAAATTACGAGAAAAAAAATACATTCAGACCAGGATTATTCTGATTTTCAAATAGATTATTTGATTTTATGAGGCTAGTATGATGAAGGAAAATATATTCACGTTGTGATCTTGTGATCTTGTATTCTCATGCTAGACTCATTGACATAGATAAACCCTCTCTTGACTTTTTTGAGAGCCTACAGAGCTTGGACACAACCCTTCCACTTTTATCACCCACGCCTGATCCATAATGCCCTGAAGCATTCTAAGTATGTGTTAAGGACCCCTTACTGGCATCTCAGGCAGAGAGATTCAGTAAGGAGTAATCGCAGCAGAGAATACATCCTGTAAATTGTATCAAAATCATACAGAATAAAAGTACATGTGAAAGGTTTTTATGCACAATTATTACATATTATTAAGTTGAATATTGTATAATCATGTTAACTATGTTTTAGTGCAATGAGCAGTCTAACCTAGCCAGGCTGGTGCCATCTAGCGCCTCCACTCTTTCTTTTCTCTTCAGCGTCTATGTCAGGAATCAGAATACACTAGACGATTTGCAAAAACCCCAGAAGTGCAAGTTCTGCCACCAGCCAATCAGCAAAGAGCCATACATTCTGTGTTGACAACGATTCCCGAGATCGAGGATTTAAAGCCGAAACAAAGAGAATGTTTGGTGAATTTCATCAAGGGGAAATACTTTATTGCTCTTCTTCCTATGGGATTTGGGAAAATCTTAATATAGCAGTTAGCCCTATTAGCGGCACATTACATACATCACGACCAAATAGCAGCAGCTGGTTAAATTTAAAAAAGTACCCACCGATCATCGAGCGAACAAATTCTCACACTGCGAGGTCAGGCCGTTTCCATGAAGTGAAACCATCTGATGAATCAAGCTAAGTCTAACCTTCCATATGCAAAAAGAATCAAATGTACTTCATTCATAGTCAGTTGATCACTTATTTAAGACTTTATTAAGATCTTGATTTCAGCTAATTTGGTCTACTTGGCTCTGTTGCCAGGCTTTGAACATGAGAACTTTAGTGTTCAAAATGACCACTGACTGTATGAAGAAGTGGATTAAAGGAGTTTTACGTCACCAGTAGCATTCGACTCCAGTCAAATGAAGCTCACAAGTTTAGCTGGGGTGAATTTGGAGCCAGTTCCGTATTAGGAATAGGACTTTATTTAT